TTCAACTTCCTCATCACCATCAACGTGCAGAGACACCAACATCAATATATACCTATAAAGAACTTTCAGATCTATATCTAGATCTAGTTCGGGAGAGTAAAACCCTCATATCTAGACCTAAATTTAAATTGAGATAGGAAAGCGGCCAAATTTTAGAGAGGTTGTGGAGCCACATCACAAACTCCTCCTCGGTGGTTGTCAACTGGACAAATGGTCGAACTGGTCTCCGCATTCACCCAAGATCAATCGTAGAAATTTATTCACACACAAAGAGATCGAGAGAGAAAAGAAAAGACAATCAAAGCAAAAAACAAAAAGGAAAACCAAAGACAGAGCTTTAAAAGAGGGAAGAGTTTTTTAGAGATAAGGGGGTTTGCTAACAAAGAGCGAAAAGAACGAAACCCTAGAGAAAACACCACTTCTAGCTATTTGAATTGGCATAGGGCAAGACAAGTTGAGAGGGGGCAAGATAGACAATTATCTAAATTTTTTTCATGAAAATATACACAACAAATATCGTAAGGAAAATTAAGAACACATATAGATATCCGAGGGAGAGCCATTATTGACACCTAAATTTTGGCTTGTAAACTTATCATTCATCTTATAAGAAAATTAGAGAACAAACTCGACCCCTAAACAAAAATGCCAATCATTGCATTGCACTTCTTTGCATTAAAGTGCTAGTAGCATTAAGGACTAACTCTTTCACATCGAGCGTGTTGCATTGGATCGAATATGAACATTATCAATGGCCCGATTTGAGAGATAAGCTTAAAATCAAGTTCGTGCGATGAGTCGATGGAGCGAGAAGCGTTGGATCAATCTTGAGGCATAAGACCTATGGCCAAGATCACATCAAGGTAGCGCCTTTTGTGAGCCATTGGATCAATCTTGGTTCTTAATCTCACACCTCACAATACTCTCTTCCAATACTTCCACAGGTAGTTCCCTTCATCACTTTCATTTCCACGCATTTCACGGATTCATGCATTGATCCCACACTCGCACACATTCACTCGGTCCCATCACACGCCTCACTTCACCTCGCTCATCCACGCCCATACACGCTTCAATCCGTGGCCCCGACGTATATTGCTCGTGATTCCGGCGGTCCCTACCGACAATCCCTTCGCAATGCTAGAGTTGGTGTTCAGCCATCACAATCCCGGCGTTTTCGGTGTGGTGTCCCTATAAGGTAGGATTTTGATCCCTAACGCATAGGATTCCAATGCGATCTAGCCATAGCCCATAGGGGTGGGTTTTTGTTGCTTTGATCCCATGATATCTTTTGCAAACCCACGACTGGACGTGCTTTGGTCGCGATATATGCATATAGGTAGATAATTCCATGTTTTATCTCTAGTGTCCTCATGCCGCTAGGATCTAAAGAGTAATATGCTTAGATTACTCCCTTTGCATGAATTTAATAGACCTAAAAATTGCATCTTTGTTGATGTAGCTAATACTCTTTGCGTGAATTTTCCTTAGGCCATGTTAGATTACATGTTAACATAAAATTCGGTTGGAATTAATAATCCTTACGCATGTTGGGTGGATTGTTCATTTGGTGAGAAAATTACCAAAAAAGTCCTAAACATATTACTAATTTATTCATAAACTTGTTTTTGCCAATTGAGTTCTAAATATTTTGTATTTATGCCAATTCAATCCATCCAGCCAATTTTAGCCAAAAATTGCTGACATAAACGCCATTTGTCCTACTTAACACGACCAGCGCTGATGTAACAATTATAAATAATAATTTAATAATTTTTCGAATTTTTTCTTTATTTTTATTTTTCCTATTTTTCTTTTCTTTCTCTTTATTTTTCTTCTTCCCTTCTGGTGAGGTTTTTTCTTCTTCCCTTCTAGCGAGGTTGACCTCACCATCCCAACAATGGCAAGCCTCGTCTTCCCCTGGCGAGGCTCAACCTCTCCATCGCTAGGCGAGGTTGGCCTCGCCAATGGCAGTGCAAGGCTCTCCCAGCGATGGCAAGGTCGAGCTCACCAGCCCTCGCCTCTGGCCTGTCACCAAGATCTAGTGACCGGCTAGAGGAAGAAGGAAAAAGAAAGAGAGAAAAAAAAAAAGGAAAAAGAAAAGAAAATTAATAAATAAATTCAAAATTTTATTAAAATATTATTTAAAAATGTCTACGTTAGCGCTAGCCGTGCCACGTGGAACGGTTGGCATCCATGTCAGCGATTTCCAATCAAAATTGATCGGATGAACTAAATTGGCACAATTGCAATTGATTAAGGACTTTTTTCGGTAATTCTCCCTTCATTTGGCCGACCCTCTTGCATGCCTTTAATCACGTCCCATTGGTTGATTTGCATGATTTTAGAGTCATCTCGCATGGTCCATAGTGTTAAATTATCCTTGCTTTGATTTATATACGTTTAGATTAAAGTTTACCTTGTTTGGAAGAATTTTGATAATCTAATTTGCAGATAATCATAGAAAGTAGATTAAAGTCTCTACCTTTGATCAACGCTTGTGCTCATGTCAAAAAGATCGAACTTTTTGATGCAAATCGGAACTTTTATCGCTTTTCATGCATGCACAAAGGACATAGTTTGCATAATTCATATAGATTAGCGAGGAAAAGTAAAAAGATTGCATCTTTAATTGTTTTAATCAAGCATTGTAGCATATAGGTCATGTGAATTAGATTGATAACGAGGCCTTGTTTAAATTTTACCCAATACGGCTCGGGTTCTTTATTGTTATTTTATTTACTTTATTTGTTTGGATATTATTTTATCTTTATTATTGCTTTGATTATTAATTATTTATTTTTACTATTTGAGTATCCTTAAATGATCAACTTTTACACGTTTAGAGGAATTAAGGTATAAAATTGAGAAGATTGCATGCAAAAGTTCCTCACAAAAGAGATAAGCTACCTAAATGGCTTTATCTAGGGTAACTAAATCACCAAACTCGTGAATCTCTTATTCGTAGGAGTAAGACGAATTTTCCCACACCTTACTCGGGGCTCCTAACCGATCCATAATAAGTTACTGATGGATCCAAAACAAATCAAATTAATCGATTGAAAGAGAAAACCAAGTTATGATCAATAAGGCTTAGAAGGGCCCGTGCTAGACGCAAGTGCCACCTTGCCAAAGGAACCATATGTGCCTTCGTTAGCTTCCCACGAAGGATCTCAACCTCTGGAGGGTCGGGACTAGACATGGCCACGGGCCGATTTCGGCCCGGAACCGGCCCGAGTCAAACCCGGTACTGGCACGTTGACCGGGCCCACGGTTCGGAACCGGCCCATGGCCTACGGGCCCGGTTCCGGTTCCAAAAAAAAAACTGCAGATAAGTGAAGATATTCTTTTTTTCCCCAAATTTGACTACAATGTACATTTTGATTACATTTTATATTGAATAATTTATTATTTCATAATTTGATAATTCATTATTTTTTTATTTCATAATTTATTTTTTAAATTTTTAACGGCCGGTTTCGAACCGTGCCGGAACCGGAACCGGAACCGGCCCGGAACTGCCGGTTCCGGTTCATACATGGCCACGAACCGGAACTGGCCGGTTGCGAACCGTGGCCATGTCTAGCCGGGACAACCATCACCATCTACCCCTCTTTTGTTCGTCTTTGATCCCACGACGGTGGAGTTGAACCATTTATAGTTTTGCAGACTCGATACTTTGAGATGGGAGTTTTATCAAGGTCAAGGAAACATTATTATCAATTTCATGACCTTGATGGACGTTTAGAAGTTACGTATTTGGAGGATCCATCTTCTTCCCTCTCTAATAATTTGAGGATCAAGGACCTTTTGCTTAATTATCAAACCCAATCATGGGCCGAAAGGGCCCAAACACACAAAAATCCATGAATACAAAACACACATAAATCCATGAATTCAAGCGCGCCCCTATAGGCCCACTTGGGCCCTTCCAAACCTAGTAGTACGTTTTCGAGACCACGGACCTATCTAGACAAGGACTTCGAGGCCAGATATCCCGACTTGACACTTCTATCGATTGGGTGTATCAACTATCGAACGGTTGTTTCGTAAAGACGACACGTGATCAGGCTCCCAAAGCCCGGGCCCTTGAACCAAACCGAACCGAATCACGGGCCATGATCATCGGACCCCAAGTGCGCCCGAAATGGGTCAAGTTGGGGAAAAGAGTGACTGCCCCCTTGCCCTTCTTTACTTCCCCCACAAAAATCGAAAAAAATCAAAACACTCGAGAAAAGGCAATAAGAAGCGAATACCGCGTTGAGGTCAGCCACTTGCAATTAAGCTCACGCGCACGCACATTACTTCACGTGACGTAGAGTTAGGTGACTAGCCGCGTGAACTCCTCCACAAGTCATAATGATAGATAGATCCAGCCGTCTAATCTATATCTCTATTGACACTAATCTTACACGTGGACCACTCATGTCTCAGACTCCCCGCCACTTAATACCCAATCAAACAGTGACCCGACCCCTCTCACCTCGTTAAAAAATTCATATCGACCTCTATGAATAGCCAAAAATTAAATGATTTGGACAATATTTTTTTAAATATAATAATCGCTTCTATCGCTCAAATTAATTAGTAAAAAATATTTTTATTATTGACAAAATTTATGTTTGAACATAGACAATGAAAAGAAAATATTCTCCAAATTAATTTATTTTTAGCAAAACAAACTGAACCCGTTAATATGCATTTCATAAATTTATGATTGATTGTTGAAATGGTCGTTTCTGAAAGGAATTTTTTCCTTGAAATACAAAACAATTGATGGAAGTCGAACAACAAAAAGAAGAAAGATGTAATAAGAGGTGTCGCGCAGAGAACAAAAGGCACATCCTTCCCTTGTACTCTAGAACCGATCCCCACCTTTCGCCAGAATGTCAAGAAATCCTCGATAGTTAATGTTGTTTTCGCATATCGATCTTCATACATTTAGGTACCAAAACGGCAAATTAAGGAGATATCATTCACTTAGAAACTGTAAGGGATCAACTGAATTGGGCTAACGTTAAAGAAAAACCAAACAGAGAATATAGATGATAATTTGTTCCAACTAGTTGAGTGCATATTACGTGGTAAACGACATCTTAAAAGAAGAGAAGGAAAGAAAGATGTCTTCCTCCGATCAAGGACTTTGGACTACCAAAACCATAAGAAAGATCCTGAAACTGATCTAAGAAGATGACAGAAGAGCCGCGCTGAATCAGATATAACCTATCTGTAAAACTAAAATCTCCCACCGCCACTGCTGTTCGTGCTTCCTCTTTGCGCGATGGTAGAATCAATACCCTAAAGAAGAAGAGAAGAAAAGATGCGAAGAGATAGAGAGCACGTTACTGCTTAGTGTTTTTTTGGCATGTACAAAGGGACGGTCAACTCGAAGCCCCATTGCTCGTCGTCGTCGTCGTCATCATCTTCTTGAACTCCTCGAAGTTGACGTTGCCATCCCCGTCCCTGTCGACCGAGCTGATCATCTTCCTACAGTCCCTGAGGGTGCACTTCTGCCCCAGCTTCTTCATCACCGCGTGCAGCTCGCCCGCCGAGATCACCCCGTTCCCGTCGAGGTCGTACAGATCGAAGGCGTCCCTGAGCTCCTTGACCCCGCACCCCCCGCCGCCGCCCCCGCCTCCCCCGCCGCCGAGGATGAGCTCGGAGAACTCGTCGAGGTCGATGAAGCCGTCGCCGTCCTTGTCGATCTCGGACATGGCGGCGCTGGCCTCCTCGCGGGTGGTGGGGGAGGGGCCGAGCGCGGAGAGCACCTCCCGGAGCTCGTCGCAGGAGATCTTGCCGTCGCCGTTCTTGTCGTACTGGTCGAACACCTGCCGCACCTGGTCCATGCTGCCCAGGCATCCAGTCGCCTTCGGCTGCGAGCTCGTGCTCGTGCTCGTGCTCGAGCTCGAGCTCGATCTCTTCCACATTGCGCGAGCGACAACACTCTGCGAGAGAGAGCGAGAGAGAGCGAGCGAGCGAGACTGGAAGCAAATATCTTTTTAGGGTTTCCGAGATTGGAAGTAGTATTCGTTTATATATAAGGAGTGCATTACGCGTCGAAAACGCGTGGTGTTACCAAATCTGGGGTTTAGGCGGTAATCACGTGTCGCCGGGTGTATGGTGGCGAGTTCGGGCATCGGCGGTTGGTTGGTCGGACACGGGATTTGTTCGGTCGATGGCCAGAGGTGGCCTGCCACCCACGTGGCGAAGTCGTGTGGTTTGGGTTGCATGTGATCACCACACGGGGGTGTGGGGTGGGACCGGGTTCCCTCCTTCGTCTTTCCCCGCTGTCTGATTTGTGTTGCCCTTGTCCTTCGCCTTCCGACTTCGGCGCCGCGCCGATTTGTGGTCTATCAATGTCACTTTCAACTCTTCCTGTTTTTTTTCTTTTCGAAGTCTCGCAACTCCCGCGATTTGCAAGGCTGGCGTCATCAAAAATCTTGAATCCTATATGCTCGTATTACATTAATCTCGAATTAATTTTGTATCATAAAAAATCAAATATCAGTATACATTCCCACATTTATCCCAACCGGATATTTTTTTAAGCGAAACCCCAACTAGATATACCCATGTCACTTCTACCCAAAAATTGTGGTAAATTTGTGATTTTTTTAGGTAAATGCGGCATGGTAAATTATATCGATTTTGGGATAAATGTGGCACGGGGTTATTGGCTAAGGATTTTTTTGTGACATAAAAAATAATTTGAAGTAAATGTGGAACAATGACACCAGCTTTGGGTAAATGTGGTAAAGATATACCAGTTTGTGAGTTTTTGTAATACAAAAATTAGTTTGGGGTTTACCTTACCAAAAAAAAAATTTAGTTTGGGGTAAACATGACACAATTATACCGATTTGGGATTTTTGATTGTAGTAGTCCTAATTTATACATTCATTAAAAAATTTCAAACTATACACGTATTAATACGTAATATTATATATGTTTCCATATAATTTTAAGAAATTAATATGAATTTTTATTATTTTAATTATTAATTTCCACCCAAGAAGGATGAGCTAATCTTTCTACTCTATATGTTTTGTGAAATATTAAGTTACCACAACTTGTCGTGTTAGTAGGTCAACAATACCACACCCGAATTTGGCTAATCATCAAGTCCAAATTTACTATGACCTTCAGGTACAAGACATCAAGGCAGAGTATAGCTCGAAGTTCCTGCGAAGCCCTCACTGGCCGCGAGCGAGGGAGCAAGGGCCACCTCACCTATGGTCGGCTAAGGCGGCCCTCGCCAGCCATCGCCTAAGACCGATCATCGGCAAAAACAAAAGAAAAAATAGAAACAGGAAAAAAAATAAAAAAAATTTTAAAAATTGTGAAAATTTATCTAAGTCAGCATCAACCATGCCACATAGGACGGTTGGCGGTGACTAGATCGCCATATTAGCATTTTTCGATGATGATCGATCGGAATGACTATATTGGCAAATAGGCAAAATTTTTAAGATTGACAGAGTTAAATGAATGGATATAAAGGATTAAGAGAGTGTCTGTCAAATTAAGGGATACTGCGGCTATTATGTTAATACAATATATGAGCTTTTGTCAATTCCTTTCATGAAAATTCGGAGTTAAAAAACATTCTTGATTTACTTTATATATATATATATATATATATATATATATAAAGCTATATGTTATATTATTTCTTTATGCAAGATAGTTTCTCCTTTTACGTCTTGTGTTTTCTAAAGGGAAAATAGCACAAACAGTCTCTGAATTTTGACCCAATATGCAATGTGATCCCTGAGTTTTTAATTTGTTCAATTTTATCCCTGAACTTTTGGTACGTGTTCAATTTAGTCCCTGAATTATATGAAAATGTTTAATATAGCCATTTCATTAATTCAAGTTCAGGGATTACATTAAATATTTTCATAGAGTTCAAGGACTATATTGAATATGTACAAAAAGTTAAGAGATCACGTTAATTATTAAGCTAAATTTTATAGACCAAATTACATATTGACCCAAAATTTACGGATTATCCGTGCCATTATCCCTTTTCCAAACGAAGAAACTCTTTGTACAGAAACCGTTTCTCTGCCGATTGATACCGCCACGGCACGAGATTCGATCCGAAAATCAAGCACTAAAGAGGCCTTTTCTTTCGGTCGAGTCACAGAAAAACAATAAACCAGATTCCCAAGTTACCTGGGAAAAGAAAATTGGCCACGGTATGCTACGCAAGGTTTGACCAAAACATGCACGCTGAACTACAACGGGCTTCGCTTTTGTCCATATCCCCCCGGAGATTCGGAGACCACAATGATGGTGGTTCTGATATTTTTTGATCTCGTGACCCGGTATTCAGTTTTCATTCGTTGGTAGTTGGAGCGGGAAAGCGCGTGGACCCCACTCGGAACTAGGGGATACAGGGGGGATCAGATTATGCTCGTGGGACTATCCTGGCATGCTCGGAATGGAGACAGACAGGACAGGTTGGAGTTGGAGTTCAAACGCGTGAAATGATTCTTCGCGAATTGGATTTTTTTTTGGGAGTTTCCTGCATTTAGTTCGCAGAAAGTGATCGGCCGACGAAACATGATTTGCTGTCAAGGAAGATATGCTTGCTTAAAATTTGGGAAGATGAGAGATAGATTTTTTCGGCGAGCATTTTACTTTGTTGTGAAAAATTTTCCCGAAACGAACGCGCCTTTAAGAGTGTCCCTATCACACTTGTTATATGTTCATTTTGTCACAAACTTTTATTAATAAAGTTATTCGGGATGTTTGTCAAATATCAAAAGGGTATTGTGAACGAGTGTTGTCGGCACTAATTAACCATACCCATTTGGTCTAGATGCACTGATAATACATATTACGAGACGAACAATGCATTGAAAATGCCTTACTTAATTGTAAAACAAGTGCCTTGAAATCCATATCAAAACGATGGGAATTTGTTATTCTTAAAGCATTGTTTGTCATTCTAGTGCAATGCACGGTCAGTGCATTAAAACTAAAAACACATCTTTATCGAGCATGGTACGAAAGTACCTTGGGACACTCGTTAATAAGATCATTTTTCTTATGGCTCGTGGACTTTAACTTTTATTTAACATAAAATATTAGAAACCTATGAAACTATTATTTAGGTTTTGTTAATGAATGTCCCCGTGGCCTGAGTACTCATTAACCATCTATTGTGTAAAAAAAAGAGGACCACGCGATCTCAATGGTTCTATGTAATCTTTCACATGTTTCAATATTTCTATCCAACAACAACCTTCCTAAAACTATTTCATATCTTATTAAGCTCGTATCTTTCCCCGTATATGTATTTTCTTATAAAATTGTGTATTTTACCGATAATTTATTTTATTTAATAGTTCAAAATATTTACTTATAAAGTTGTTTTGCTCAATCTTTCAAATTTCAATTTTGTGCAAACACACAACGCGTGCACATTTGCTATATTACAAATGCACTGACCGCACATACCACAAGAGAAAACAGTGGATTGAAAATGAGTAAATACCTCAATTTAGGTATCCAGGGTAGTTTTCGACAAAATTCATATCATTATATATGTAAACGATACAGTTTTATCATGATTCTTTAAATTTCGATAGGAAATCGATAAATAAATCATCCTAAGAAACGACGGCAACAAAAAATGCACGATTTTTGTTAGTTCAGCTGTTGAGCCCATACGAGGGATTAAGCGAGTGACATAAGCTTTATTCACCATATCATAAAGGCAAAAAGAAAAAGAAGTCCCGTGCCAGAACCGATCCCTTTTGAGGTATAAATATTTCCTGGATTCCAGATTTACGCGTTCCGGACGAGCTTTTCCAAGTATAATAATAGGAAAACATGCGCAGAATTTTCTGCTCATCCATGGTGGAATGAGTGGAAGTCGAGAGCTTGAAACCGCGTAAACCCTAGACCCACGCAAGCCCTTCGACTTCGCAGATGAATTAACAAAGACTCCTCTCGTCCATGGATAAAGAGGAAAGCAGAGAGAGAGAGAGAGAGCGACCTCTTTTGCTTTCGTTGGCCACAAGATTGACAAAAGACTTTGATGAGCCAACGCGAGGTTCTTTACGTGCCGTAAGCAAAAGACGGAAAGGCTGTCGAGCTATTGGCTGGTTCTTCCATTCAGCAGTTAAAGATCACTGTCGAAGAAACCAACGTCCGTATACGCAAGCAAGAGAAAAAGAAGTGTTGCAGATCCAACGAGAATTCTAGAAGAGAGACGAAGATGGAGAACTACTCGTGGAATTAGAAAATAGCTGGAGGAAATATGTTAAAAAAAATAGACCCGTCAAAATGGGGGCTGAGTTGTTATATAGGAGTTATATTCAGTATAAATGGGTCATAAATGGATTTAGAAAATAATATGAGTGTTAAATGAGCTCATAAGTTAGTCTGACCTAACCCCACCTCTATGACTCTCTCTTCGGTCTCCCACCCTCACTCGATCTCGCGTTCACTCCCTCCGCACTCTAACCTCAGTTTGTATATGAGTTTTTCTTTATTAATATAGGTTGGATCATATATCTATCACTAAATTTGTATCGCATGAAAATAGATCAATTTGGATCGGATCATTTCTGACCTGACCCGACCCGACCCATCCGTTTGACGGGTTTATACAGAAAATTTAGAAGTAACTAGGGATTGGTATGCATTTATAAATTTGAAGATAAGAAAACGATAAATAAATAAATGGATGGTCACGTATGAAATTTCAGTTTTTTAAGGTAATATTATTATTTATTTTTTTTATAAATATGGTGGGTGGGTGGGCTTGGGTTGGATTCAAGGCCTTGCCCAAGACTTGCAAGTTGGGGTTTCTGGCCCAAAAGGATTGCACGAGCCTGTTGTGGCAAAAGATTAAGGTCACGGTCTCACGCCTCTACCCATGTAGCCAAATGGGCTTCATTAAAACACAAATTGTGAAAAAGTTACTACACATGCAATAATCGAAACGCATGTCCATTAACTTGGACAACTAATAGCACAATCCCAAATCGTTGGAATTATAGTGGCGGAGTTTATATTGAGATTCATCGAAAGGAAAAATTACCATCCAAAGATGATGATATATAAAAAGGGTCGTGTTTTTCTACATCCCAACAGAAGGATATTTTCTCAAGTTATGTCTTGATTGGTGGGGTTATGGGATATGAAAATTACCCACTTCTAATTTTGGTTAGAAATTTGCATGCGAACGATGTCGCGTGACTTCTTACCCATCAATCATAGGAATTCTCCAATTAGCATTAAGGAAATAATAATCTGCACATGACAATAATGGGAAAAAATGTTTACTTGATGGAATGACTAATTAAATCTGCCTAACTCGTAGAGATATTAGAATGTCAAGTAAAATCTAACTTGAAATACAAATTAAGGAAGAATTTCATATTCATGTTGTTATCTTGAAACTTGATGGAGTCGAAATTGTTGCACTCTGTTATGCCAAGTACACATTGCTTTCTTAGTCTAGAAATTAGAGCAAAAGGAAAATGCGACAAATAGTCCATAAACTCTGGCCTAATAACATGTCCATCGTTATTTAATAACATAAATTATATATCCTGATTTGGGATGAGTATTTTACTTGGATAATCCACATATAACTTTTTTTTTATCGTCCGCCGTGTAAACTTAATGATCAAAAGCAACATCGCCATATTTCCATCAACTTGAATTGGCGAAAGGATAATATTGAATATTTTCATTTAATTTGAATTTGCGGAAGTACAACATTGAACATTTCATATAATTTGAGAACTAAATTACAAGTTTATCAATAGTTCAGGGACTATATTAAACGAATTAAAAATTCAGGAATGACATTATATATTGGATCGAAATTCATAAACCATCTGTGGTGATTCCCCTAGACCAAATGATGACTATATAAGGGCGGGACAAAGTGCATGGGTCCATAAACAAGTGTCTTTTATGTGTAAAGGTTGGGTTTAACGTGATCACTTGCCGCCCTTGATCCAATTTATCATCGTCTTTTTTTATTTTTTACAAGCCTCTCAAACAAATTTAACTTAAAGTTAACAATTCAATTCATCAACAATTCAATCGTTTCGTTTCTAACTTTCCTTTTTTCTTTCCTTCTGAACTTTTCCAAATATCACAATAGGTTTTCATTGAAATTTTTACAAAACGGTAATTGTGAAATATCTTCCAAAATTAGCTTGTAATACGCATTAATGCAAGTCACATCCATTCAATCCCCGAAATGGTTTTGCGTAAATTCAACTCTATCGCAAAAGTATTCATTCATTTTTTCTTTCTTTCTTCTTTCTTTTTAGGTCTAGGAGAGGGAAGAAAGAAATGGAGGTTAAGGAGAGGACCAAGTCCACGTGGAGACATGCAAATGGCGCAACACTCGAGCCGAAACCTCGTTGCGTGTCCAAAAAATCACTGGCTAAAAAACCAAATCCACGACAAAAAACAGTCTGCTCTCTCTCTCTCTCTCTCGCAGAGTCTTCGAGTCTTCGCTTTCTCCGCTATTCCCGAACCACAAGCGTCTGTCTCCTCTGCCGTCAAACTGATGCTGAAGTCGTTCTCGGAATCGTAATCGGAGCATAACCCATTCTTCCCATTTGTATTATTCGGCCAAACCAATGCTTTCCCGTTCCAGCTTCTCCCGCGGCACCCTCGGCCTTAACGCCTCCCCATCACCACCCTGAGCTTTGATCGCATTTGCCCGCGAGAACTTCGCCGCGCCCCTGTTTTCGAGTTCTCTGCTTCTTGTTCTCGCCGTTTTCTCGGTGTTGGGATCCTTAGCGTTGAGTTTTCGCTTCTGGGTCGAGTCAATCTCGCTCGAGAAAGATCTCGGCTTTGTTGTTTCTTTTTTGTTCTTTATGTGATGGCCCTTCACTCCATTGCCGTGTGCTTCAATGGGGTGGCCGTTTCTCGACCGAATTTCGCGAGCTGCAGGCGCCGAACGGTGAAAGTCTCTGCCTTTGCTTGCCCGCCTCTGTCTTCGGTTGCTCGATTGAGTGTGAAAGGTACTTTGGTAACTGTGTTTCTTGTTGCTGTTTTCAGTTTGAGAAAAGAGTTTTGTGTCTATAGCTTCTATATTGACGAATTGGGCACGAGATTGAATCGGTTGTGTTAAGATTTTCTGCTTGCTCTGTGGTTTTAGCCCTTACCAAGTTGTGAACCTACCGCTTTGGGCGAATTGCATTTTCGGTTCCAAATTTGCCGCTAATCCTTCTTAGAAATGGCACAGCAATTTGAAGAGGGTGTACTCATGAGGTTATGTTCTGAGAATCTGTGAATATCAAGAGGATTAGCTTACGTCAGGCACCAAGAAATGGCATTGAGTAGACAACCGTGAAACAGAAAGGATAGGTGCCACTCGAGTCTTCATCTGTACTTGGACCGTTTGGCCTAGAAACCTATACTGCTAAGAGATGGATCAACAATAATGTCTGCTCAGTGACCCATTCCCAGGGGAGCCCAATTAGACCCTAACGAATATTTCGTTTGTTTATCATCAAACAAATTTCGTAATGCCGTCATCCTCAAGCTTTGTGATGAGGAGTGTCACTGGTGACATTATTAACTCAAAAGTAGGTATAGACTTTCACAGGTGAAAAGGCCATTAATGAGGTGTGATGATGTGGAATCCATCGTTAATGTAAATAAGTGGTTGGAAGTATTGGAAAGATAAAAAAATCAAATTTTTGTTCTATGACGGGGCAGCAATTAAGCTGTGGAAGAATTGCATCATGTTTACTAAGTTTCTCAAATGTCGCTGCACTATTCTACTTATCCCAATTCTAATGTGATATGCATATGTTCTTTTAGGAAAAGCAGTTAGTGATAATGAGGCGCCTGAAACAAAAGACAATTCTCTCGTGGTTTGTTTTGGGGAGATGCTAATTGATTTCGTCCCGACTATTAGTGGCCTTTCATTGGCTGAATCACCTGCTTTTAAGAAAGCTCCAGGAGGAGCACCTGCTAACGTTGCAGTGGGCATATCCCGTCTTGGTGGATCATCCGCCTTCATTGGGAAGGTATGATTACTCGTTATTGTTTGTGCATCTATTAAGTTAATTAAAGTCAACTTATCTGCATAGCAATTATGCTGCTACTTATTTTTGGGGGAACTAATCAAGTGTCATGTGCTTTCTGACATGATAGTTAACGTAGATGTTCTCTATGTACCTGCACAGGTGGGTGAAGATGAATTTGGCTACATGCTAGCTGACATTTTAAAGGAGAATAATGTGAACAGTGAAGGGGTGCGATTTGATCCTGGCGCTCGTACAGCTTTAGCATTTGTTACACTAAGGAATGATGGGGAACGCGAATTCATGTTCTACCGCAATCCAAGTGCTGATATGTTGCTCGAAGAATCAGAACTGGATTATGACTTAATTAGAAAGGTTGGATACCATTTTATTTTTCAGGAAACCAATTATGTGAAGAAATGAAGTTCTTTTACCAAAGAGTAAATAATAAAGTTCCCTGCTAGAATATGCAAATTAAGGAGATCGATTATTTTAGACATGCCGATACTTCCATATGGTTTGAGTTACTTTGACTACAAATCACCCGTCCAACTGGTTCATGAAGAAAATAGTTAGCATAACCACCGAGATGTTAATATTTGTTGATTTCATGCATAACTGCAAAGCTGTTGCTACCTTCTGATGATTCTCTGGAATGTTGCGTCTTCTTTTCCGTTGAAGTCACAAAACAGGACACCAACTCAAAACTAATTTGTCTCGTCACAATAAGTTTTTTCTGGTTCTATTTAGGGAGAAATGATTTTTTCAGGAGGAATGAGAGGTAACAATATGATGGAGTTGGTTATCAAAAAACAATATGATGGAGTTTCTACACAAATTAAGACATGAGGAGCCATCCATGTCCGAGTCTGGATATGCTAAAGTTTTATAGCTTTGGACCTTTTTTGGCTCCACTCAGAGACTTCAATGCAAACACCATGAATTCATTTTCTTTTGCATCGACAGAAATAGGTTGCAACTTGGATTTCATTAATATGTTATATTTCTGTGAGGCTACCAAGCATAAATATGATTCTTACCTGTCTGAAATTATTTTCAATTTCATGACAGGCAAAGATTTTTCACTACGGTTCCATAAGTCTTATAACAGAACCTTGCAAGTCAGCGCACATTGCAGCAGCGAAAGCTGCGAAGGATGCTGGTGTCATCCTGTCTTATGACCCCAATCTAAGGCTTCCTTTATGGCCTTCAGCAGAAAGTGCCAGGGAAGGAATCATGGGTATCTGGGAAACAGCAGATATTGTAAAGGTAAGAATAATGCTTTGGTCATAATTCATCTTTTTGGCCCTTCCGAAGGTTATGATAAACAATACGGAGAGGCAGCAAAAATGAGCCTTTCTAACATGCTGGTCTTCCTGCATAAATTCAGATAAGTGAAGAAGAGATATCTTTTCTGACTAAAGGAGAAGATCCTTATGATGATGCTGTCGTTCGTAAGTTTTACCATCCCAATCTCAAGTTGCTTCTCGTAACAGAGGGACCTGATGGTTGTAGGTACTACACCAAGGTAGGCAGTGGCATCATGTAGGAAACTGCGAACCATTTAGTACATATAGCTAGCTAGCTTATTGATGCTTATTTTCTGAGCAGCTGTTTTTGGCTATGAAATGTTATTTTGTAGGATTTCAGCGGGAGAGTCAAGGGTTTGAAAGTGGATGCGGTTGACACCACCGGTGCTGGGGATGCATTTGTAGCCGGGATATTATCACAACTAGCTGTTGATCTCTCCTTGCTTCAGGTAATGCTTTATTTTTTACCACATCTTTTGGTTTCAGAAAACTTAATTTGAATATGAGAAATTCTACCCACTCGAGAAACGGTATTCTTTATACACGTGAGGCACTGAGGTTTGTCGGGGTAGTTTCTGATGAAAACTCACACTTTCCATGTGTACTCTGAAGTTGTTGGAAGCTTGGTGAAACACTGCTCTGTGTAAAAAATTTTAAGGTATGACATAGTCATAGTGCTTAAAAAGTAGCAACAGCCACATTAAAAAGTGGCTTGTCAATTGACGGTTGGACAGATTCAACTAAGAGAGTGGCATTTCTCGACATTCTGGCCCCAGACCATGTGAGAGTTGACCCCAAAAAGGAGTATATGTTACCACTGGGATGGTAGTGACCTATTTATCATGCGAGACCATTCTCTTTTTTGGACATAGGGCATGTGTAAAATGGGTTCTCATTGTCACTTAAACAAAATTCCAACTGAGAGGTCAATCCCACAAGCCTCTTATCCATTCTCATTTGATAGGGGCAAGCAGGGGCCATGTACAGTACTGTACCATGAAGTATGCACGCAGTTTCGGTTGTCTGAAAAACAAGTGACATTGCATTTCAAAAACCACGTATTCATCAGAGGAACTCATTTGCATTGGTATTATTTGACAATGAAAGACAAGTGCACCTTGAAATCTTTTAGAATAGCCAGGCAGAGTAGAGAAGAATTTCTCAATGTTTCTACATATATAAAGTGAGAAACTCCCTCCTTGGTATCGCTTCTGTCTGTGAACAGGTTAAATAAATTGTAACATTCTTTAGATGTTTCTGCTTTAGTGCAGAAACTTCTGCCATCTCTGAGACCTCTGACTTGCAATGGTTCACATTAGGACTCAAAGATTGGATTACAAAACTTTGCCCTTATATACTTTACCGTTTATTTGTCTTACCCCTAGTGCATTCTCTCTACAGTGCATTCTTTTTCTTAATCTCACGGTGGATGGATAATGCTATAATTATATGAAGAGGAGACTACAGCATTTAGATAGAACCTATTAAATAATCAACACATTCGGCAAGTTATTTTTCAGTACAGTTGGCATAAAGACCAAGAAAACACCTTGGGAAAGAAGTCCTCCACAAATAACCTGCATATTTCTGCTCAAGGGTCTCTGTCACATCTCCTGCTTATAATTTACTTGTCCTCTTTTACTGTTGCTGTTGTAACCCCTCAATATATGTTTTGTCAATATATCTTGTAGGAGGAGGACCGGCTAAGAGATGCCCTGAAGTTCGCGAATGCTTGTGGCGCACTGACTGTGATGGAGAGAGGTGCCATTCCAGCTTTGCCAACTCGAGAAGCCGTTCTGGATACATTGCTCAAATCTGTAGCATAAATAGGTTCATCTCTCAGTCCCTGTAATTTTCTCAATGAACACATCACCACAACAAGTCTTACACGGAGTTGATAGAGCCGGCTGTTGAGGAAAATAAAGATCTTTCTTTTTGAGTAGGAATTTTTATGAGAGTTTGGAAACTATAGCATTCTTGCCTAAAGACGATTGTTGGACTATTCATGTCGAAAGCGAAGTTTTTTATCTGTCGGAAATGTTATTGCAAGTAGTAATTGAATAAGCGGGGATTAAGGAGCTACTAGACAATGCTTGTTTGTTTGAAAGTAGATAACTGAAGAATTAACGATCGGATTTCTTACCTAACAAAAGCACTGAAGACCCTATGCATGAATCTCTGGATAACAGTGGCTGCCGATCGGTCAATTCGGACCCTTTGTTCGACATTACAAAGATCTAAATGGAAATGAGAGTTCAACATAAGGAATTGAGCTTGAGAATCAAATACATCATTCGTTGTGCTTTTAAATCATGCAATTTGATACTGAGTTTGAATGATCTTTGAAGTCGAAATTTGCATGTTTTGCGTGATATTTTTTAATTCCAGAAACTGTATGAGTAAAATTGCGATACCCTTTCAGTGCCATGAAGGTCCAAAGTCAATCAAGCATAATAGAAGTTGACCGTTCATTAATATAAAAGAAGTTCTGCAAAAAGTCTCTTCAAGAATTTGTTGTTAGGCAAATGCAGCATCGCATCTAAAGAAGTGTGAGGTTTCAAGTTCAGATTTTTGTTTGTGGAACACAACCTCCTGGGATTAATCTAGTTCGGGGTGCGAAAGCTTGTTTAGGACATTCTATGACCACACTTGACATCAAAGATTTGTCACGTGAAAACTCGAGAGCCAAAATCTTCCCTTCAAGTCTCGACAACTTATCTACACTTTGTGTCCTAATCGGGTCAAGGGTTGGCTTTGGCGCTATATTGTATATGGTGTTTTGAAAAGTAATACATATTCTTACCTTTACAAAAAAAAAAACTTATCTACACTTGTGCCGATCAACGACGACGGATAGGTGTGTTGTTGCCGAGTTCCAATCAAAGAGCTGAACGCATTCAATACACTCTCGATTAGACGGAACATATCGTTACATTCATGAACCCTTGATAGCTTCGATTGCCGACTTTTTTAGGAAATTGTATCATTAATGGATGTATGTCACATCACGCTTCCTAAAACGCATCGGATCTTGACATCACCATATGATGGTCCCTTGAAATTTATGAAGCTACCCACCTACTTAAACTTCCAAACAAGTTGACATTACCAAAACAAGCGATCAAGCGCACTAAATATCTTCACTTCTATCATTCGTCTCCTAATTTGAGTTTCACATCCACGCTTCGAATTCCAGTCTAATATCAGTGCAAGACGCGGAACACACAATAATCGGGAAAAGTGCAAAAAAAGTCATAAACTTTTTGCATTAGTGTCAATTTAGTCCTAAATCTTTTTTTTGGTGTCAATTCAGTCCTAAACCTTTTGCATTTGTGCCAATTTAGTCCTAAATCTTTTTTTGGTGCCAATTAAGTCCTAAACCTTTTAAATTGGTGTCAATTCAGTCCTAAACTTTTTATTTTTGTGCCAATTTAGTCTTTCCGATCAATTTTGACCGGAATTTGCCGACGTGGACGCCTGCCAGCCGGCGGCCGGTCACCGGCGCCGACGTGGCGCTGACGTGTACAACTTTAATAATATTTTAATATTTTTTTGAATTTTTATTTTTTTCCTTTTTTTCTTTTTTTTTCCACTTTTTTTTTTGGTCCCCCCCTCCTTCCTCTGGCCGGTCGCCGGTCCGGCGACCGGCCAGAGGCCAGAGGCCGGCGAGCTCGACCTCGCCGGCCACTGGCGAGGGCTAGCCTCGCCCAGCGACCTCGCCAGATCCAGCGAGGTCGGGCTTAGCCTGACCATGGCGAGGCTCGAGCCCTCGCCGGAGGCCGCGGCAAGGCCCGACCTCGCTGGATCTGGCGAGGTCGAGCCTCGCCCGACCACGGCGAGGTTGAGCTCGCCGGCCTCTGGCCGGTGAGGAAGGAGAGGGGACCCAAAAAAAAAGTGGAAAAAAAAAGAAAAAAAAAAATAAATAAAAATTCAAAAAAATATTAAAATATTATTAAAGTTGTCCACGTCGGCGCCGGTGACCGGCTGCCGGCCGGTAGGCGTCCACGTCGGCAAATTCCGGTCAAAATTGATCGGAAAGACTAAATTGGTACAAAAATAAAAGGTTTAGGACTGAATTGGCACCAATTTAAAAGGTTTAGGACTTAATTGGCACCAAAAAAAAGTTTATGACTGAATTGGCACAAATGCAAAAGGTTTAGGACTGAATTGGCACCAAAAAAATATTTAGGATTAAATTGGCACTAATACAAAATGTTTATGACTTTTTTGACACTTTTCCCCACAATAATCTTACACATTTCTTTCTTTCCGCGCATCATGATTGAGTGGTCTTCTTGATAATTTTTGACATGCCACGAAAAATTCGCCTTCCCATCTAGACCAAGCTTCCTATTCCTGCGAAGACCAAGGAATTTTACTAGGAATTACTTTCTCGTTGTCTAATTACGTGACGCTATGTCCATCAAAAACCGAACTGCAAGATTGGTTATCGAAGCTATTTCGGCCATTTTTTTTTTTGGCTAAAAAAGCTATTCTCGGCCTTAATCCTGGATCATCCACGTACTTTTTCCAATCCAAGTCGCCATACACCAAGGGAGAACATGAGCAGAGAATGATGATTGAACAGCCAAAAGAAGTGGCTCCCTCAGATACCGTCATTGAACTTGTGGCGCTCGTGCTGTTGATTAAGGAGTTAAAAGAGGAAGATATCAATGGCGAATCGTCCTTGAACCGTCGAATGTGTGCCATGCAATGATGATGACGATGCAGGAACCCCCTTAAATCAAATTGCAATTCAACTTCGTATACAAGCACGTCTCGCTCACATCCGGTTGCTGGCAGGTTCCTGTTAGGTACCGACACATGCACTGCCCACAGACTTGCCACGTGTAAGGCGCATGCTTGCTTTAGGCCCTCGTGGGCATGTTACTAGGGGCTAACAAAGGTCATGATGCAAGATGGGTGTGACTGGTTACTAACAAAGTCATCAGTTCATGTCCCTAAGTACATCTTCCAATCGATTTCGTGAGGGACTAGGTGAGTGGCATCATTACTTGGTATGAGATTACAAATATCGCAGTTCCTATCTTAAAGACATGGACCAATATGACTAAACTATCATGAGATCATATCTAATTTTAATGCGCTCAGTATGGTAGATATATTAGATTCGTCGAGTCCTTAAAAAAGTAGTGTGGTGAGAAGGGTGATAAAACCTGGACTTAGAATGTGTTTCCTTAATTTGAGAGGATCTTGATCCCGTCTAAATTTAGAGTAAACTAAAGGGTAGAAATAAAAGCACTTGTGCGTGAAATTTGATTTTATAGTATCTATTGAACTAGAGGGCAGGATTTATTTTATTTTATTTTTGAAATAAATTATGATTGGCTTCGCTATTTTGCCAAGTTTAGGTTTGGCTAATCGGATGGGTAACAGGTTAAATATGGAGAGGGGCATCAAGAAATGTCAAAGGTTGTTGGGAAGTAAGGAGTTGGAGGGTCACCGAACCACTAATCACATTCCACCATCATGTACCATATGGTCTGATTTTGTACATTAACTATTCATTCCCCCAAAGTCATAAACCAGCAACCCTAGCAATATTTGGGTCTAATTAATTATTCTTGTTCCAATGTTTAAACAAAGGGCTGGGAAAATTATTCTATTATTATTGTAATCAATAAGGTGATGAATCGCCAATGTGAAAAAAAAAAATCAATCAGGAGATGAATGGTATTATTAAATCCATTGGGAAAGAGAAAACAAGCATTCCTCAAAATACAATTAGCAAAATGACACGTTTGAAATTTCGATTAACATAATTATTTTATTCTCGAATATCTTTTATTTGCTTACCATCTTTGCATCAATGCTTATGGGAATAGAATCTTTTTCATGACAACAATCCAGGGCTAGTAATTTATGCCGTGTTGCATCGTGTTAATTGTGTTGCATCGAAATAGAGATATACTATTTATATAGTTAATCCGAACACAGCACGTTCAATAAATGTGTCGAACTACCTCGGCACGTACACGGCATACCTAATAAAGCTAATTACGCAAAACGACAAGATTAGTATAATTATCAAATGTGCCACTGCGATAAATTAACAGGTTTACAAATATACAACATCTATACACTATAAACACATAAAATACGTTTAAACATGATAAATTGCGTTAATACATTCATACGATAAACACATAAAATACGTTTAAACATGATAAATTGCGTTAACACATTCATACGATAACATGTTCAACGAATTTTTAGAAAACATGAGTAAATCACTTCACATCACATCTAAACTGAATTATTTATTTGATTTTTCTTTATGTTTAATCACTTTTGTATTTCAAATTTTTATATATTACCATTTATTCCTTTTGGCATTCGCGTAATTTTAATAAACTTTTAAGGATGAATTTTTTTCTAAATATGAGCATTAAAAGTGTCTCATTAAGTCATGTCGAAAGAAATAACATGCTAACACATTAATTTAAATATGCCAATTCATATCTAAACGGTCAAAGCGCGTCAACCCGCGTAAGACACGATCCTCACTGTGTCCTGAACGGGTTGATCAGTTTATGGCGCTAAGTTTATGCATAATCCAAAATGTTTTAATTATTTGTGGTAAGGTGTCGTGTAAACGGATTGCGAGTCGAAAATTACTGGCCTAAGCTAACCTTGTAAAAGCCCCATTAAAACAAAATCCAAATTTGTCAAGTACAGCAAGATTATGACCCAAAAAAAGAAGTACATTTAAGCATTGAGTTTTGCCTTTTTTGCTTGGTCTTTTCTCTTAGCTCATCTTAGTTTATCATCATCGCCCAAGAGTACGAACTACCCTCTTTGTGGGCTTCTTGCCCACTTCGCCATTGACAGATCGAATCTTTTCCTCTCTCGCAACCAACACTCATCTTCTGATCTTCTCCTCCTCTCTTCTGAGATTCAATAATGGATCTCCCTTTAGCTTAAGCGGGAATCATCACCCAATTCACTTTATAAAAATGTGACTACACTAAACTATTGCAGGCCCCCAGATCACGTTTTGTTTGTTATTTGCATTCGTACTCGTTGCCCGTCTTTGTCTCTCTCTCTTTCCCTGAGAAATTCTCCATCAACGTCCAAGCAGAGCTGCTTTTGTTTTCTTTTCACAAGGTGTTTTTCTCTCTCCACCTTTCTCTGTCTGTGTCGCACCCCTGCATCTGCTTTAGGGGCTGCTCCTCCTGGGTTTCTGTGCTCTCTCTCGGTGAGATTTCGCTTCAAGGAAAAGCAAGGTGAAAAAAAGAGAGAGAATGGGGATTTCCCAAGAGACCTGCAGTGTCTCGCAAGCTCCAAACACTTCCTCATCCTTTGGGCATTACTGTTTCGAGCCTAGTGAGTTCAAGAAAGGGAGACCCAGTTGGAGGAGCATGATTTGGGATCTTGGGTTGTCCTGTTTTCTTCCCGAGAACGGCCACAGCGATGAGAATGACGATGAAGATCGAAACTTGGAGCACAACAAGGCGTGGTTGCTCGCAGAGTCGGGAGGGTGTGGCGCCCGGTTGACCAGCGTTGACCCCCAGTCCGTGCATTCGTCCTTCAGGTTCAGCATCTGCTCTCAGGTTGAGCTGGAGTCCATGAACTTGCATTCGTCCAATGCCGCGACCGTTTTGATGGTGAATTTGGAGAATGGCTTGGAGAGTCATGAGCAGGAGCAGAAATGGAGGCGGATTGAGTCATTGGAGAAGAGCATCACTCCTCTTACCAATACACTGATGAGGTTCAGCTACAGCCAGCTTGTCTCTGCCACACGAAATTTCTCCAAAGGTACTTAAATGAGTGGAGAAAGATTAGCTAAATTCATTGTATGTGTGTATTTTGAAGCATGGTCAGTCATGGTGCGTAATAATGCAGAAGACTCGTGAGGTCTGTAGATACTCTTCAGGATTAGAATTGGGTGTTTTCTTGGCCGAATTTGTTGTTTGTTTGATTTGTTATCTTATTTTACTGAGATTGACATGTTGTTTGGAACTGTGACTGATTTTATTTATAACGGGGTAGGCAGGGTTCTGGGAAGAGGGGCGTTGAGCTACGTGTTCAGAGGCAGAATTGGGGTTTTGAGGGCTTCTGTGGCTGTGAAACGTTTGGACAAAGAGGACAAGGAGTGTGCAAAGGCATTTTGCAGAGAAGTGATGATTGCAAGCTCCCTTCGCCACCCTAATGTAGTTCCTTTAGTTGGGTTCTGCATGGACTCCGAGGAGGGCTTCTTCTTGGTGTACAAGTATGTCTCTGGTGGAAGTTTAGAGCGCCATTTGCATGGTACTGTATTTTATCTTACCTTTGCCGGGCTTATTTTCTGTATTCAAGTGTATGAATTGAAGTGGTTTCTGAAATTTTGTGTTGCAGACAAGAAGAAAGGACTGAAGGGTCGTTCAACACTTCCATGGTCAATGAGGTATAAAGTAGCAGTTGGGATTGCAGAAGCTATAGCATATTTGCATAGCGGTACAGAAAGATGTGTTGTCCATAGAGATATTAAACCTTCGAATATACTCCTTTCAGCCAACAAAAAGCCCAAGGTGAGATATAGGCTTTCCTCAAAGTTTTACTCTGTTTGATAAAATATTGGGAAAAAAGAAAAAAAGGAAGTGATATGCATGTGATGTAATCTATTTCTGAATCGGGAATGAATTTGCAGCTGTGTGATTTCGGACTTGCTACATGGACACCAGCGCCTTCAATCCCTTTCCTGTGCAAGACTGTGAAAGGAACTTTTGGGTAATCATCTAAAGAAAGCTTCTCCTATGAGCAGAACACAGCAATGGTCTTTCTGCTTTTTTGTTTGAGTCTCTTTTGCTTCAAGCATTTTCTGTTTACATGAATGTGCAGCTATTTGGCACCTGAATATTTCCAGCACGGGAAGGTATCGGACAAGATGGATGTCTATGCTTTTGGAGTTGTCTTGTTGGAGTTGATAACTGGTCGAAAACCAATTGAAGCAGGAAGGCCATCCGGAGAGGAGAACTTGGTGCTGTGGGTAGGTTAAAATGCTCAATCCGTTGCCTATTAATTCACTTAACTTTATGAGGGCTGAATAAATCGGTCCTCATTCGGTGACTATTTAAGATGCATGGGAAACAAGGTAAGGTCCTCCCATAAATCTATGTTAATGAGGGCGAACCACCTCTCACTGGGACCACTCTGGAGTCTGGGCTTCGTGTCCACTGCCATATGGACTTGTGTATCTAAGATTTCTTAGAATATCTGTTGCCAGTCGAATGATACCTATGGGGTCGATGAGTAAATGCAAACGGATGCTATTATCGCCACATTCAAGCTAGAAGGATATGTTGATAGGACCAATTTTCTGGTTCGGATGGTTTTCCGAAGGATAGACTGGCTACTGTTTGAGAAGGTTTTTGAGTGTAGGAATTTATTGAGACCGTTGGCTCAGTGAAGTCTCTTCTCATCAGAACTTGCTTAGAAACCATCATGGTCATTCTCCTTAGCGCTATGACCATTTTTGCTTTAACAAAGAAAATCTCTGAAAAGTAGCATAGAAGTATTTAACTTGGTAAATTATCCAGCTTGAATGCTTTCATCCTAACGTCTAGTCTATTGCGCTTTTTGCCAAGCGTCATTCTACTCTCAACCTGGATTGCATGTGTTAATGTTCATTTTGCTATATGTACTGAATTGATACGACACTGAGAAGAAATTGTTAGTGATAGGTTACTTTCATGGATGTGCATATTTCTGTTTCCTCTATAAAGAAAATGAAACAAGAAAGTAGAAATGCTTATGAGCAGAATAATCATTGAGAAGTGATCAGCAAAACCTAAAACCTAACATTTGCATTATACTCTGATTTTGCCTAGCTGCTAATTGACACATTTTTTTGCAGGCAAAGCCTCTCCTAAATAAAGGGCTAGAAGCGATAGAAAAGTTGGTTGATCCGATGCTGACGCGCACTTTGAGAAGCCCCAAGCAAATCGCTCGAATGATTCAAGCAGCTGTGGCGTGCATAATTAGTGAAGAATCCCGGAGACCGGGCATTGATGAGGTCCGTGCTATTCTAAGAGGCGACGATGAACCTATTTTGGCCAGTAAAAAGAAGTCCAGCTTCCCAGGAAACGGATTTGTAGTGGATTATTTCACACAACTGCATCAGACCAAGAGCGAGATGAACAAACACTTGGCTCTAGCGATGCTTGGAGTTTCGGAGTTTGAGGATGATGATTACTCCTGCTATCAATGACATATAGTACCAAGTCACTAGCTCTTTTAACCATTTCTTTTGTTTTGCTTGAACAAAAGGTTCCTAGAGAGATCGGAGCCGCAAAGATTGCTGGAAATATGCAAATTTTTGGAACTGGTCAATCGGATTGCGTGTGTACATAACTTCAAATTGTGTAATGAGAAGGTGTGAATCTGATCTTGATTTTTTTCTGTATGTCAACTTGTATCAGTAGGCCGAGAAAATAATCAAACAGCAAATCCTCTGGCTTCCATACCGGCGAACTTCAGATGTGAAGGGAAAACTAAGTTTCACCTACAATGTTCGATGAGTTGCTGCAATTGCTTTGAGATTTAGGTGAACCAGACAAGCATTAGGAAATTAGAACGAGGAGGACCCGTATAAGACGCAAAGATAAGGGTAGGTGGGAAGTTTTTGGATAAAAGCTAATGATCGCAAGCTTTTCAATGTGCAAGAAGCCAAGTCATTCCACTGTCTCCTTCGCCCACCAAATCTCTCGTTAAAGTTGGGACTGGAAAGAGACACTTCTTGAGTTGTTCTTATAGCAGACCGAGAGAACAAAAACAAAGATTAAACTGTTTAACTGCCTGTCCCAACTAAACAGGGACATCTGACCTGTCTATCAAAATTAACAAATGAATAAGACATCAAACTTCTCAAGGACAGGTTGCACCGCCCTCCAGACGAAGCATAAAGAAGAGTCATCGATTAGCATACACTAACTGATTGACCAATAAGAATGCAGACCCAGAAGGGAAAAACAGGAGATAAATGCATTTACTTGATTTTGTTTGCCTAACAACAATAGCAAGGAACTTTCAGCCAACGTAAACGTGATGAATGGTGGATATGATTATGCTGAAGTTCCTCAAAATATGTGGTTATGATAGAAAATTGGTCCATCTTAATGTCGCGAGACCATTAGAAGATCTTGGCGACGTCCTTCATCAAGCCCGGGTTGGCGAGCGCGAAGTCGGTGAACTCCTGGTAAGAAATGAAGCCGTCGCCGTCGGTGTCGATCTCGGCCATCATGCGCTTGACCTCGTCCCCGGTGACGGAGCCGAGGGTCTTGAGCGCGTCCCCTAGCTCGGCGGACGAGATCTTGCCGTCGCCGTTGGCGTCGAACCGCTTGAATATCCGCTCCCTCTCGGCCTTGGCACTTGCATCATCTGCCATTGCTCTCAAGCCCCGTTCCCTTGAAACCCCTTTTTCTCTAACTTCTCTCGAGTGAAGAAGATGCGAGTAACTTGAAATGGTTAATGGAGGAAATTGTGAAATTGGGCGCTGATTCTTAAAGGGGTTGGTTTCTAAACTAGCTAGGGGCTGGCCTTTAGAATCGGAGTAGGACAAGAGCACGAGGAACGGATCGCCCTTGAGTGCGTGACTGTTTTTAGCCATGATGTTGGCACGAACATGTCATGTCAAAATGGGGACAAAAAGCCTTGTCAAAAAGCAAATGAGAAAATGTCTTCCTTGGCCAAATTAGGCACTTGGTTTTCGATGCAATTCGGTGATAGGATTGGCCAAGACGTGGCTTTTATTAACCTTTATGATTTAATCGGCCAGCTAAGATAGACCCTAATCTAAATGAAGGGTAGCTGGGACTTTTTAAGTTAATGGTGTAATTCGAGATGTAAAGTTAATACGTTGTATGAGGTTGGTATATGATTGTATAAATAAATTTACCTTATGTAAAGATTCAAAAATTCTTAGCCCCATACCATCCATATACCCAAACCATCGACCCAACTTTACCACCACCTTCCCCCGCTATTGCCGCCACCTCTGCGGACTCCGGCTACTTTGCTTATGCTGCTGATTGTTGTTCTGCCTCTCTACGGCCCATGTCGTCATTATGGCGGGGCTCCTCTCTCTCTCTCTCTCTCTCTACTGTGCCTCTCCATGATGCGTCTCGTCCATCCCTTCTACTTTGTTGACGCCACCATCAAGGGGTCGAGGTGGCAACTATGAGGACGATCTAGGGTTGAAATCGAGCTCGCCGATGCACCGATCCTCGCCCTTTAGTCCACCTTGGTTTGAGTTCAATCCAATATACAGGGTCGGGGCTGCTCATGACGGAGCCGGAAGCGACAATCTAAGGCACTAACGGTCAAGGTCGAGGGCAAGACGAGATGTTGATCAAAAGAACTTTAATTTACGCATATTATTGCCCGGTTCCTAAACTCCTTGTTTTGAGAGGTAACCAATTTCAGTGGAATAAAAGAGCCAATGAGGTGGGCGTGCCGGAGTGGTTATCGGGCATGACTAGAAATCATGTGGGCTCTGCCCGCGTAGGTTCGAATCCTGCCGCTCACGTTTTCTTAATCTCTCTCTTTTTTTAAAAAAAAATTTATGGGATAAAATAAAAGGCAGAAAAAGATTGCGCTAGAAGGAGGGCTTGAACCTCCGACCTTGTGGTTAACAGCCACACGCTCTAACCAACTGAGCTATTCCAGCTTGGCTGTTCTTACCTCGTAATTTATTTTAATTATTTTAAAGATATGCAGTATTTCATCCTCAATTCCCGATCAAAGGATGGTAAGGATCGAAATCCTCTTGCTGAATGATGTGGCGTCCAATTGGGTGTCGAAACAAGTAGGACCCACGAATTAAATGATCCGGGCTCGATAAAAAACCATCACGTCATTTAGTAAGAGAGTTATAGAACGTGTCTCGCATTTCTCAAATGCAGATTCCATTGCCGTCTGATGATTTTATGCATGTAATATGAGACTACCGAGGAAAAACCACATCATTCATTCTAGTCGCAAATGACCTGCCAATCCTCGATAAAAAGAGTATTTTAGATAAGGGGAAAAAATTGTTCGATCAGTCTTAAACTTATTGTACGGATGCCAATTCGTCATAAACTTTTTAATTTTGCCAATTTCATCATAAATCTTTGCTCAAAATTCCAACCCGGTCAATTTTCGCTTGAAATCGCTGATGTGACGGTGTGCCACATATAACAGTCGGCAATGGTGCGACTTCCACTTTGACGATTTCCCGTGAAAATTAATCGAATTGACTACATTGAAATTTCTCACAAAAACTTATAAATAAATTGGCAAAATTAAAAAGTTTAAAACTGAATCGACATCCATACTATAGGTTTAGGACTGATTGGGTAACTCTCTCCTAAACAAAAGATGATTCTGCGAACTAGATGAACATTGGTTGCTTAAAGCATAGTGTCTACCCAAAGAGGATGATGCGTGTCGTGGGAATAATGGCAATATGAGGCATAGTAAGGTGACCTCCATCATGCTTTTGGAAAGACAATCAATGAAAGAAATTGTTACCTTGTTCTTCAAAAAATGGTAGGTTAGGAAAGATAGATCCCACCACATCAATAGGATTGGTAATTGCTACCACTTAGGGTCCATTTGGTAATCATTTTGTTCCCGAAAATAATTTCTGCTTAGAAATGATTTTTTTTATTCTATTCCCGGAAACAATTTCTAAACATTTGAAAGCGTTTAGAAACTGTCAAAAATTTTTATTTATAAAATAGAAAAAGAACAGAAATGCGTTTGGTAACTGCACAAAATTTCTTTTTATTAATAATATTTTGAATTTTTAAATATTTCTTTCTCTCTCTTTTTTTCATTTTCTTTCTTTCTTTTTTTCTTCTTCCCCTTCCTTGGCCCATGGCCAAGTTGCCGGCGCTGACGACCGGCCACAGGCCAGGACCGATAAGGGCTGGACCCTTGCTGCCGCCCTCGTCCAAGCCCTAGGGCGGCCCTCGCCCTGGCGGCTTGGGCGAAGGCGGCGGTGAGAGCCGCAACGCCCTTGCCGACGACCAGCCACAAACCAGGAAAAATGAAGAAGACCAACCAAGAAGAAGAAAAAAAATTCTTTTCCATTTCTTATTCTTGTTCCCATAATCAAGAATCAACTTTTTTTTTATTCTTGATTCTGCTCCAAAACTTATTCTAGGAACAAATTTGTGCCCGGGAACAAAAAATTTACCAAACGGATTTCTGTTCTTTTTTTTATTCCGGAGAACAAAAGAATAGAATTGGGTACTATTTGGCAGGTTACCAAACAGTCCCTTAGGGTGCGCATGGCAACGATTTTGTGTCCAGAAACTGATTCTGCTCAGAAATAATTTTTTTTTAATTCTGTGCTCAGAAACTGATTCTGAGCATTTGAAGGCGTTTGGTAACGGTTCAAAATTTCCACTCCTAGAATAGAAAAAGAACAGAAATGCGTTTGGTAACGGAATAAAATTTCTTTTTATTAATAATATTTTTAAATATTTTAATAGTTCTTTCTTTCTTTTTTCTTTCTTCTTTCTTTTCTTTTTTTCTTCTCCTCCTTCTCGGCCATGGCCTGATCGCCGGCCATGGCTGGCGACCGACCACAAGCCAAGGCCGGCGAGGGCGTCGCGGCCCTTGCCGGCCACAGGCAAGGGCATCGCGACCTGGGCAAGGGTCGCTCTCGCCGGATTTGGCAAGGGCTGGACCCTCGCGGCCTGGGCGAGGGCAACCCTCGCCGGCCTTTTCCAGCCCTCGCCCGAGCCGGCAAGGGCCGCCCTCGAGGCTCGCAGCCTGGGTGAGGGCTGCCCTCGCTAGGTCTGGCAAGGGCTGGATTTTCGCTGCTGCCCTTGCCATATTCGGCGAGGGCGACCCTCGCCCAGGCAGCGAGCCTCGAGGGCGGCCCTCGCCCGAGCGGGCGAGGGCTGGAAAAGGTCGGCGAGGGCGACCCTCGCCTGTGTCGCTGGTCGCTGGTGGCCGGAGAATGAAGAAGAAGAAGAATAGAAAGAACGGGAAAGAAGAAGAAGAAAAAAAAATAATTTCTTTTCCAATTCTGATTCTTGTTCCCAGAATCAAGAAGCTACTTTTTTTTACTTCTTGATTCTATTCCAAAACTGATTCTGGAAATAATTTTTTGCAAATTTGTGTTCGGGCACAAAAATTTTAACAAACAGATTTCTATTCCCAAACTGATTCTGGGAATAAAAGAACAAAAATTTTCACTATTTGAAAACTTGCCAAACGGGCCCTCAGCCTTCCATTCCTACAAAATGCATATGATTCACTCACCATCATCGACTTTAAGAAAACATGAACATGGACTATGCTTCCAGATGCACGTGAGCGCCGCCGACCACTGGCCAGGAAAAATGAAGAAGACCAATCAAGAAGAAGAAGAAAAAAAAATCTTTTCCATTTCTGGTTCTTGTTCCCAGAATCAAGAATTAACTTTTTTTTTTCTTGATTATGTTCCAAAACTTATTCTGGGAACAATTTTGTGCCCGGGAACAAAATATTTATCAAACGGATTTCTGTTCTTTTTTTGTTCCGGGGAATAAAAGAATAGAATCGGGTACTATTTGGCAGGTTACCATACAACCCCTTAGCATCATAAATTTTCTTGGGACTCCCAATCATCATCGACCATAACCAAACCCAATTCATTGCTACTCCCTTCAAGCCGTTTAGACTTCCATTCCTGCAAAATGCATATGATTCACTCACCATCATCGACTTTAAAGAAAACATGGACATGGACTATGCTTCCAGATGCACGTGAGAGAAAAGAGGATACGGCCCTGCACCTTGCACACGTTTCAATCAAAATCAAATGTGTCATCCTGTTTAGTTAAGCAGATACAAATGTATCGTGATGAACGCGAGGGGACATTCGTTTCTTTCGGAAGAATGGATCGGTTCAACAAATATGAATCAAGTATATGCCGACTGATTTGAAATGAAATATTTTAGGACCCGAGCCTCTACGTCCGAATTGCATGTAATATGCACCGGTACTTGACGCGATCTAACCAATTGCTGCGCTTTGGCAAATAAGCACTAAGGGATGAGATTTAAAATGGAAATACGAAACTTTGATAAGACAACCAATTATTGTATAGTTGCAGAAAAAGATGGCAACGTGCATAAGCTTTGATCAGATGAGGTCGGTGTCCCAAACTCTCGCATAGTGTCTCGTGCCTTATGGGCGGCGGAATTTTGCCACTGTTCTTAGCTTCTTATGTAAACCCTAGCTTTCCTTCTCTCTCACGTCCACAAAACCAGATCCACATGGGGAACTTCTGCACAAGTTCATATAACATCACATAATTGGTGCTTCGAATCACATATCAATCAACTAATCGGTCGCGCATTAGATCACATTAACATGTCGCCTCCTACAGTCATTACATGAAGACTTTATATTCAAGTGGCTTTCCCCATCTCCCCCCACATGGGGACCAGTCGAGCGAGAGACTTAAGGCAAAGAACAATAGCCAAAAGCTGACTGGCGGATGAAGCACATCGCGCCTCATTAGGTCTCTAAGTGAGATACACAAATATAGTATACAATACATAGTACAATTCGTGGGATGTGATCAAGTGTTTGGGTTCATGGGCAAGCTCACACCCTCGAACCTTAGAATAGAATAACACACACATGTAATAAAGAGGTGAGAGAATCCCACGTGCTGCGGAAGAAGAAGAGGGAAGCAAGCAGGAGGGAGCCTCTCAAAATTAGAACTGATGTCTAAGAATTCCCAAAAGAAAAAGATTGTACTGAAGAAAAGTCAAAACCCCACAATGCATGGGAATCTGAGACGTGGGTTCGCGACAGATCCAGCGATGCTCTTGCGCTTCTGCTCCTATTTTTCTATCGTTCTTCTTCTTCTTCTTCTATTAATCCCCTGCCAGCTAACAATTCCGATACAGAGATTAATAATTCTCTAGCAATTGTCCATTTAATTCCTTCCCTTGTTTTTTTAACCCTCCTGTCTCGCATCGATTTCGGAGCTATTTGGAGCATCCGACGTGATGTGAAATGAGTCTCGTGTATACCAAAAGATGTGGACCTAACTAAGGAGTTGGAAAGAATACCAACTTTTAGGAAACATAAGAACAATGTCTCATTTGTTTGAAGGGGACCATACTACATTATAAAAGTTCTACCCAAGCTTAACAATCTCTAGATAGAAATATACATGGAGTGATGAGAAAAAGTAGTTCTCGAGTGAAAGCTATGTGCCGTTGTCTTAGCCCTAGATGACAAATTATTTGTCACCGCAAGTGCACATGTTAGAAAAAGTGCCATTCCAAAAGCACGGTTATCCATCCTGAACAAAAATTACCATGTCAAACTGTGCCCGATAACTCATTGTCATTAGATTAAATCAGCTTGCCATATGATATAAGTATTACGGGAAAGATCTTTTTTACTCGAATGAGGTCCTTGCTGAACACTTAAAATTAACAGACAAAAAAAAAGAGAAGGAATGCTTCAGATTAAACTATTGCGGCTAATATATCCTAGGGTTCTCTCTCTTAGAAGTATTTCGCTGTTAGAGCTTAATGACACTTGGACATAATTACTCTGGACCCTACATATAGACCCTCCACCTTCCATTAGCCGTCTCCATGCATACTCTCTCTTCCTCTTGAACACTCAAACCCTAGCCCTAGCCACCGATCCGAGAACATACTTGAGATTCCTCTCTGATGGACCTCATCGATTCGCGCCTTGGATTGCTGCAACCTCTGAACTCGTACAGCGAGGACGGCAACGACAAAGAGACTCCGCCACAACTCTCAGATCTCTCTTCACAGGGCTCTTATGGATATGATGAGTACCAAAAGTTAGGGTTTGAGGAAGAAGACAACTTGGAGAAGACCACCACTCTAATGTCCAAGAACTTCCCTCCTGGGATTTGTGGTCCGTCAAAAGATGCCCTCAAGTTTCGAGCGATGAACAATAGACCTGAAGGTGTTCATCATCAGCCTCTCATAAATTTCAAGAGCAATAGTGGCTATGAAAATTTCAGGCAAGCCAGTGGGTCTTTACTCAGCTTCCAACAGAGCCAAACGGATGACCTAAAGAACAGTGACTGCTTTGGGTGGAAAGATGATGGCATCATGAGCAATTACAACTATCACTACTTGAAGCAGATCGATCCAAAGAGCAGCTCAGACCACCCGCGGATCGTAGAGGATATGAACTGCTATCAGTCCGCTAGCACTTATGTCTCCGTGGTTCATAACGCAGTTGTGAAGCACGGAAACAGTTCAAGTAATTGGCTGTACTCGGAAGCGACGGCTGTCGCAGATAGCATCCAGGAATCCGGAGCGCAAGAAGCAGGATTTCACAAGCGTGCTTACATGGTATACATGAATGCCGTTATCTTAATTTGATGGGTGTCCTTGAATCAGCTCTCTTCTTTGAATTATAGGCATTTTGTTGATTGTTGTAGGTTAAGTTATTGTCATGTTGACATGAATAACATTCTTGTCTAGTCATTGTTAATCCATGTGAATTGCGTCCACCATCATTATATGACGAGACGAATATCGGGTCATGATTCAATGAACATTGGGTCTCTAGTACATATATATGTCGGTCTTGTGCGAGAAAGGTCATGACGTGACTGAAGGATTTTTTTTTTTTATAGGGAGAGAGTCCGCAAGCCTCAAAGAAGCAATGCACGAGCGCCTCCAAGAGCTCATCAAAATCCAAGACGCCTTCATCACCAAAAGATCCGCAGAGTGTTGCCGCAAAGGTTGATTGATGTGCTTCCATCTCACATAAGAATTTCGTTAATAGTCATATGTTTTTCTATTATTTGGAAATTCTGAGAGAAGGGTTAAATGATCTTAAGAGTTGTGTTTTGCACGCAGAACCGGCGAGAAAGGATCAGTGAGCGACTCAAGATACTGCAGGATTTGGTTCCAAATGGTAATAAGGTGGGTCTTCTTCTTCTTCTTCTCTGTTTATTTTTTTTCCTTATCTTTTTCTATTGGAATGAAAATTTGGCATTTCTTATTCATTTGTAGAATGTGAACATGTGCAGGTTGACCTGGTAACCATGTTAGAGAAAGCTATCGGTTATGTCAAGTTTCTCCAGTTGCAAGTGAAGGTGAATTTCCAGCACCATGATTTCTATAATTAACAACCTTCAGAAAGAAATGATCATAAAAAACCTTAAGTTTGCATGTATGTTCTCTCTATGTGCAGGTGTTGGCAACAGATGAATTTTGGCCAGCGCAAGGTGGGAAGGCTCCTGATATTTCCCAAGTGAAGGAAGCCATTGATGCCATCCTATCCTCTCAGAGAGACAGAAGCTCAAGCTCCAAGTGATGATGATGGACTTTGAGGCTAAGTAACAAATGTAGTCAAGTATAGAAAATGTAATAATCATAATTGTAATGATAATCATCACAGTAATAGATCTCCTCTCCAGTTCTCTTCAAGAAAAAGGAAGAAGAAAGATAAGTTAAAATCTGCAAATGTTACTCAGGAATAGTGCAGCTTTAATAGCAGCAGTGAGAAGTTAGGACTGAATATTTGTGCTTTGTTTGATCTTTGACAGAATGTTCTGTCTGATCTAAGGTTTGTAACCTTTCTACTTATGAGCATTTCCGACTATTTCGTTGTATCTTCACAGTATTTCATCAAGCTAATATAAGAAGACTAGTTGCTCATTTACTTAGTTGCATGAGATGCTTGATTTGCTTTCATGTTCTACTGCAAAAATGGCTACGCAACAGTTGATAATGGAGAGAGAGAGAGAGAGAGAGAGAGAGAGAGAGAGAGAGAGAGAGAGAGAGAGAGGCTTGGGTGCACACCGAATATCACAGCAAAAAACAAAATTTGGGCCTACCTCAGTTAAGAAAGAAGCTTTCTTGTCTTCTTCAGCATTAAAAGAAAATAGAATAGAAGCCCTTATTTTAATCTTTATCTGACTGAGTTGTCTATGCAGTTCTAAACCCTAATCAACAAACATTATTAGCAGCGAGAGGTTGACTTACTTAATTAATCCAACTAGAGTCTTGGTGCAATTTATCGAACAAACTTTAGTGAGAATGAAGTAAATTTTCCGCAAGTCGTGTCATGAAGAAGCTTGGTCAACGTCACAAGAAGCTGGACATTCAAAAACTTCAAACTTAGCGATCGCTAAAACGAAAAAAAACATGACACGAACAAATGGATGGTTAGAAAACTTATGTCGTGGGGAATGATTGCAAACTTCAAAGAGGGACAAAAGCTTAAACAAAGTCATAGTGTTTCGAGCTTTGTGTGCAGCTACAACATTTACTAAGCTGGCACTCCGAAAACAAGCAAACCTCTTCCTCGGGAGCGTTGCACCGATATAATTTCACAAATCGATTAACAAAATGAGGTTCGCAAACTCGCACGAAAAGCAATCTTTGATTAGAAGGAAAATGCTGGTTTCTCATGTGGGTGTGCAAAGACATTCCGAACTTGCAATTTTGTTATATAAACGGCCAAAAGACATTCTTATCGGGCAATGTACTCTATATGGACTCCGGATATTCCCCATAAGAAGCATGCAAACATGATTTTGAAACTCGCAAAACCACTTGTTGGATCGCCCTTTAGTTCAATACATGGATCCCACTTGACTAGACAAGTATGAAACGAAAAAAAAGAATATATATATATAGATATTGTAAAAGCTTTGTAATTACCAAATTCAAATCAACTTCCAACTATATGGATTCAATTTCAATCTAATGTATGAACCTCCCCTCCGATCTCTACTTTGACGTGGTCGAAAGAGTTCGTACGGGTTTTTAGCTCAATCTACCAGTTCTCCTTATCTGAATCGGGAGGATCGAATCACCTTTTACGATTTACCACACAAAAAGATACATATCCAATTGATAGTGCCTCTTCAATCCCACCTTCGGGTGCCGAGTTTGAACCCATCCTCGCATACTCACCAAAGACTTACCCAGGTGCAGCTATGGGGGCCCTACTGCACCCCTCCACGTTTACTTGGATGAAACCGGCGCAAGTAAGGATGAAGCCGGTTCTCCCCACTATCATAAAAAAAGAAAGAAGAAGACACTCGACAGTTAACTTTCTGTTCATTTATTTTGTTATGACTAAAAGATATCTTGAATCAATTTATGCTTTATGCTACGTTACTTAGTTCATATCTCTCCAATCTCGTTAAAGATGAGCCGTGAACGCCTAAAGAACACCGTCCATTAGTAATTTTCACAACCAGATAAGTTTTCTAAGCACAAAACTGGACCGGGACAATCACTGATGATCCTCCAGGTTTCAATCTTTGGCGATTGATTTGATAATATGCAATAGTGCAAAAATATTTGTTGGTCAGTCCATCCAAAGGAAGAAGCATCCGTACAGATTGAGATTTATGATTGTAGTTGGCACTGAAAGATAAGATGGATAGGAGGAAATGTTGACCCTAGACAGCCTTTTAACTCGGTTTTGCCTGGAGAGGGACAACTGTGCAGGTGGGGGGTTCATTTATTGAATCACATGCTAATCACATGTCCAATCCCCTATTATCCGGAATACATTCCCAAAGTATGCAAATTAAATGAACCAACCGAAAAATGTTCATTATTTAACTATCTGCAATTTTGTATATATGCATGTATATTTGCCAACATGCCCGTATAATAATGCATCGTTTATTTATTAGTATGCATATGAGATGGGGTTTTTGTTTTCGGCCGTTGGTATTGCAGCCAGGTGATGTTTAAAATCGCCTTCTTATATTATACTAAGTGGGTATGATTCCCGGCGCTGCTGGAAGGCATAAACGTTTTGATGAGAAATTATCGATAGTCGATGAGATGGCTCTCTAAAGTTTTAAGTCCAAGCGAGATTGCGACAACTTTTGCTTCTTGAGACATGATAAAGGTTTCAAGCAACCCTCTGTAACGATACGTGAAGTCACATTCTCTGGTCCAGATAGATTGGTTTTGCGAGGAGCTCAAATAGTTTTAAAGTGAGTTACATTGATATGATTTACATGAAATATTAACCTAATCAAGAGTAAATTGTGTGAGTAGACCCACACAATGTATGCTAAAGATGATTGAGACAGAGGATTCCTATCCCGCTCTAGCTAGCTTAGCTCATACGCATTATGTTTTATCTCTATCAGAAAAGATGCCCTGGTCGCTGTATTCTATACGTATGTTTGTCTCCTGTGGAAAGATGCGTACACCACGTATGAATACGCAGAGAAGGAATTCAATGCAAGATGAGTTTCGTCATCGTTGCAATTCTTTGACCTGATTTATTTAGATTCGACCCGTGATTTCAGCTGTCTCCTGTTGGGAACTCCATGCGAGGTCATCGACAATTAATGAGAGGGGCAATGTCTGTCTTAAACAGGCCCAAACCAGTGAGAATTTTCTTGGTCTAACCCCAAATTGGGTTTTACTTTGCATTTGTTAATTGGCCAATGATTAGATGCTTGTACCGGCTTGCCTGGACAAGATAGGATCTGACATTAATCACCCGCCAATCAGGTCTTGCTTGTTATAAAACGCAACTGAAATGAATACTTAGCCATCTGAAGTAAATAACACAAAGAAGAATCTTTCAATTGACCCCCATGTAAAGGAAGTGACCCAATGTGGTCAAATCTTGCAATGATAAATTATATTTAAATGTTTAACCGTGCCTTACTTTTACATGTGAATTGGCGACAGTTCTACAATTTTCTTGTGGCATCTGAATAAGGGATATGTGATCGAGTACCTTCCAATGACCTGAGCTTCACAATGCATTTTTTCAGGTTGTAGTTTTAGGTCGATTCTCAACTTGCATTTAGAAAGGAGCATTAAAGCATTTAAATCACGAATAATGAGTTCATCTATTTATGACCAATGATCCCATAAATTCGTCTCAAAAGATTCATTCGCTTTTAGCCAATGGAGACCACTTCTCTACTCAAGATCTCCAATTTAAAGTTGTTACACTATATAATATATACATAAATATATATATGTGTATGAATGTATGTTCATTTTGAATCTGATTTTAAACAATGGCCATTTGCTCATGACAAGCAGCATTAATTAAGTAAGTCATTAGCCAGACTTTGCAATGGATACGGTGGGCTGACATTAATTAGACAGGGGACCAAAGGGACTGTCCAATCACCTTAACAAGGATATCTTAAAAGGCAATAATAATCGAAGCTCCTTAATGTATTCCAAAATAAATCAAGTCCAAAAGGGAATATAAGAGAGAATTATAAAAGAAGGTATAAGTTGATAACATTAATTTAGAGCCCAAGACAAGCTGTTCAGCACTTACTTGCACATGACGAGTGAGTAGGGAGCACATCCCGCAAGACGACAAATTGGGGATAATTTGGGTGTGATCATTTGACAGTGTGAGGATGGCAGAGTGGAACTTCTGTATTTTTTTTTTCTAATCTTAGTATTAATAATTTGGAAAGTATCATATTTGATTTTCCAGCTATAGTGTGTGGCCTCTCTCAAGTGTAAGCTTGCGCACGTGTGCCATATTTTTTAAGCTTGCGTGAAGAGAGAGGCAACATATATGTAGTGTGTTGATTCTTGCACTATTTACAGCAATGAAAATTTGATTATTTGCGTTAGCGACAAATCAAGAATAATAATTTTTAGCTACAAACAATCTACAGAAAATATATACCATCGTCTTCTCTAAGGAAGGGTTACCTTTAAAGTTGACGCATGGCACTGTAGATAGCAAGAGATTGGTATAACAATAGTAAAATTGTCTTTCCTTGGAGGATTTTATTATTTTCTCTCGATATTATAATAAAGTTGTTGATTAAGTATAAAATTTCCTAGCATAATACGTGTCAAATAGGCAGTGCATTTCTTTCCTTCTCATGGTCTGTATGATAACTCAATTAAGTGCTGAAAGCTAAAAATTCGGCACTTAATGAGATTAAACTTATTCGACAATCTTAGAATTGGCCAAATTATTCCATTTAGTTATAAAAAATTCACCTAATCTCAAAAGTAAAGGAAGAGTTGCTTAATTATTTCAGTTCCACCTTCCTTCGCGTTTTAGGGCTCGCGTTTTGTGCTTGGCAGTGATTTTTCAAATCTGATTCTGCTTTCGCATTCATTTTTGTCAATTACTTTTGCACGAAACTGTTGATGCTCTTTCAACTTCTAAGTTCCGTATAAAGAGAGCTCTCGACTTCTTTCCAATCATAGCAAAAGGAAACTCATTTTCATTCCAACAAGGAACTAAATTACTCAACTCTCACTTCATAGTACTCCTTTTGAGAAGAAAAGAAAAGAAAAAATCTGGAAATTTTTTTAAAAAAACTAAGCAAAACGGTA